CAGTTTATACTGTGTTTAAATGTGCTTTATAAATTAAATTTACTTACTTACTTACTTACTTACTACCTGATTGAGCAGCGAGTTACATTTATTTTCTTTCTTATCCCTTTTTTGAATTTTTTTTGTGAATAATACAGTGCACAAAACAGACAGAAACCAAATAACAATTAAAGTAGTGACAAAAGATTAAAGCAAAAACAGAAAATGAATTAATTACAGCTGCTGCATAGCACAACAGTCTCCTACTCAGTGAAAGGGGACACTAGAGATTGTTTATGCTGGTCAGGATCAACCTCATATTATATTATATATATATAAACTGAGGCACAAAACTGACTTCCAGGGCCATAAAGTTACTTTCTTTATGATTATCTTTCAATACATAAAAGCAGGGAAAGAAAATAAACAAATCCCTGCACACATTTTTATATTTAATCATGTGGTGATCACTTTTATCTTCCAGTCCCCACACTGGGAAACACCACATTTAAAGTATCACATTCAATTTTATATTCTAAAGGTTCATTTAAAACCAAAACAAAGCTACCTGTTTAATTATAAACACTTCTTCTTAAGGTCAGCTGTGTGGCATGCTTTGGCGCAACCTTAACCAAAGTAGCTGGATTTAAATAAAAAGAAAACAAATGTAAACACTATCGTTTAAATAGGCTGATGATTAATTGAACAGGACTTGTTAAAGTCAACGTCGACCTCAAAACAACGCGTTAATCTTGAACATAATTTGGTAAAATCAATATTAACTACAGACTTGTCGTGCAATGCGATGCAAACATTTGGAAGTAACGTTAACTCCGTATGGGACACGACAATGAACTATGTTTGTGATTACCTAAAAGCACCAGGTTGTTGAATGTTAAGATGATTGAACAGTGAATCCTCTGAGGTAACGGGCGGCGTCAACTCACCATACTGGGAGTCCGGATCTGTCTCCTGTTTTTTACCCATTTTCCGCCTTCAGCCTCCACCTTTTCTTCCTTCGCTTGTAAAAACACAACTCCCTTCACTTGGAGTTATCCTAAAAATTAAAAACAAAAAGGGCTAAAAAGGGTTTGAGACGAGCTCTGCCGTGTCTGCGCGGACGTCGTAACTAAGTTAGGAAATCTTTTTCCTTCCTGGCGGTTGTAACTAGGCAGTGACGACACGAGCGCACCTGCTGATGGATGCGCACCTGCGCGTTTTTATCAAAGATCGTTTATTGGCGAGAGGAATCACTCGTCATTATCTATCTAATCGTTTAAACCCAGTGGTGGCATGTTAACTAAGTGCATTTACACGAGTACTTGTGCTTAAATGCAGCTTTGTGGTATTTTTACTTCCCGTTTTGTGCTCCTTTATACTTCTACTTCACCGCAATTTGGAGGTAAATGTTTTTATTTTTTACTGCACTACATTTATTTGATTTTAATACCACTTACTTTGCAGATTTAGATTATGAATGCAACATATATATCAACTTATAAATGATATGTTGTTGTAAGATTAGATTTATTTTTATGAGGATTTCTTTTGTGGATTAGTTTATTTTTTTCCCCAGGTTTATTGAAAGAATTTGCACCAGTTATTTAATGGTAACTACATACATATTTGTATTCTGTTCTGTAATTTAGATGAGGAACTGCATTATACGGTGCACCTTGCCCGTAATGTCACTGTTGGTTAGACTGGCGGAGTGATATGATGTAAGGTAGTGAGGCGATCACTTTTGTTGTCCCACTGTTGAAGCGGACATTAAAGTGGTAAAGTAACAGAGAAGAATTTGTCATATTATTATTTTATATTATTATAGGTCAAGCTACCTAAAAGTAATTAATTAATTGATGTACATTAATGGAATAACTATTAATGCAGTGATAAATGATTCTGAAATTGGTCAGTCTGTATAATGAGTACTTTTACCTTTGGTGCTTTAAGTATATTTGATGGTAATACTTTAATAATTACTAATACAACTTTTACTTGAATGAAAGATCTGAACACTGTACCATAGCCAATGACCCTCAGGTGGTCCAAAGGCCCCACTTTCACAGTGTAGTGTTTGTGGTCATTTGATTAACATCAAATGTCTTTGGTAATACAGTAAGCATTATTAAAAGCACATCATAAAGTGAATTATTAGGCTTTAAGGTGACGCCACCATTATGATCTTGAGGTCCTAGATAAAATCTAGATTTAACACCATTATTCAGTTTACATCTCATGCATGCATATTCCTAGTTATATGTGTGCTTAATCAAGTACCACAAACGAATAACTAGCTTAATATATACATGATGTGCATAGAGTGCAAGTATTAGCTATTTCTTACTTCCTGAAGGTCCTCTGGCAGCAAATAAGATGATATATGTAATGTCAGTAGTGACCTACTGTCAATAAAAACTAAAACTAAATTTCCATAAACTGCATTTTTCCAGTCAGCCATTCATACCATGGACAAGGAATTAAAAGCAGAGTGAGACATCTTGCCCAGTGTAGCAACAGGCCTATCTCTCTTGCTTTGCATTGTGGCCTATAAATGTCCCATTAAAAACACAGTAACACCAACAGGCCACAGTCTGGCTGACAGCTGCCTTAAATCCACATCCTCCTAAAAACTAAAGCCTAAATACTGTTCACACAAAAATGACACTGTATGAGGGAACTTCATATGCCATTAAAAATGTGTGGCTGTTTGTCAGGGAAGAAGAGCGAGCTGTGTTCACATCTGTTGAACTGACTGGCATATAGACCTTTTTCATATCAGCCATTTTGAAATTAAATAGTAGGGTAAACACAGGCGTTCCCAATGACACTAATTCAGGTCCTGTTCCATTTAGTGTGGCAGAGCTGTTCCAGTGAGCCAACATGCACAATAGCAGCATCCTGACTCCGTTTTACCTGAATGCAACAGAACTTTAACCGGTGTGTAACCTACTGTTTCATGTCACAATGGCTGCTGTGAAAAAGGTCTATTGATAGCCAGCGAGTGCAGATTTTTAAAGAGAGAATGACATACTTAATCCAAGAGCCCAAAGATAAACTCATGAGCTAATTTATTACACTAAATGTGATAAAGAAAAAAACAATACGTACAAAAATAAAGAAAATAAAGCTAACAAAAAAAAACCAAAAACAACGCTATCCCTCAGGTCCTTATTGAGTCCAGTATGGGCTAACTGTTGACCCCATTACTGTACTGTGTAAAAATGCATTGCGGTTGTTGGCACGACAGAAAATATATATTTATGACAGTTGCATTATGGCGCACTCCTAATGCACAGACTTCATGTGTCGGGGCAAAAGGAGGTCTTAAAATATACAGTAAACATACTGTATGTACAGAATCATCACCTGTTTCCTTCAAAATACCCACACAGTTTAAAACATGTTAAGGCCCATATGCCAAATGATCAACTTTAAAAAGGTGGCAAGTATGAAAAGAAAAGGGACATTTCAAGTAGAAAAAAAAACAGCACCATGCATCAAACACAGAACAGAATTTTTAACATGATGAAACCCTCAAGGTGTATTTCCACTGCGAGTACATGTGAAATGGATGTGGTTAATCCAAAGGCCCCATGGGTAAATGTTTTTAAGAGTTTCCCAGCATGGTCATCCCACAGTCAGCTCCCGAATCTGGACAAGCTTCCAGTCGAGCCAGTCTGTTCTGCTCCAAGGCGATGGCCTCAGCTGAGTGTTTGCATTTCTCTGATCCACACTGACAGGTGAAATACTTGCTCTTAATGTCCCAAAAGCGGTCTCCGTAGTCGAACCTAATGAAACAGACAAGGCCAGTCAAGTTGAAAGTGTTTGTATAGTGGAAGGGGCTTCAGGCACATATATGAATGAAAAAAAACTTTCATGCTCAGTGAGAACTGAGAAATGCTCTCTGCCCAAAACAAGATGATTCAATGCAAAATATTAAAGAAAGAGAAGAGGATGAATAAGGCAGATAGGAGGCTATAAAAAAGGAGGAAAAGAAAGAAATAAGCTGGTGACCGTAAACGTCTCAACTTCTCACCCTAGCTCTTGTCCGCTGAGGATGTCCCTGGAGCTGAAGAAGGCGATGCGGGGGAATCTCAAGTCCTGGTGCAGCATGAACACACGCACTGGGATGAGGTTTGGGTCACACAGGTGGTTGATAAAGCGGCTGATGTTTCCATAGTAGCGGGCGTCGATACAATACACCTCCCCGTCCTTTACACAAGAGGAAAAATGTGTTGGAGTGCTAAAACTATTCACACGGACTGTGCATGATAAAGAGATCATGATATCTGACAAACATGGTCAGATTTATTCGACTACATTAGTATCTTTATTATACACTGCGGTTGTTTTATGATCTTCATGTTTGACTTGTTCTGCCTTTTCTTATATTGATACTGTGCGACTTTAAATGGTTTTTAGCTCTATGGATAGATTGCAATGAAATCTAGTAGCGGACATTCACGTCCCCCATCGGGATAACTGTGATCTTTTAACTTTTCCTCGAACGCCATCATCAGGTCAAAATGGTAATTTGTCCAATACTGTTTTATGAAGAAATACCTGTAAAACTAACGACATTTCCATCAGCCTTAGCTTTACTTTGTGTTTAGTGCCAATAAGCAAATGCTAACATTCGAACACACTAAACTAAGACACTAAACATTATACCTGCTTAGCATCAGCATGTTAGACGTTAGCATTTAGCTTAAAGCTCAATTATGTCAAAATACGGCGTCACAAAGCTGCTAGCATGGCTGCAGACACTTGTTATATATAGTTTTAATATTTTTATTATTATTTATAAAGAAATAAATGCTGCATACTACTGCTTATATTTCATAATGCTCCAACTTTGCTATTTTAATGATGGAAAATGTTTTAATCTGCATACTTATTAGGATCTCCTTCAAAATACAGCAACAGATAACCATTAAATACAACTGTCATCTGTTTTTTCGTTTAGTATTTCACAACAAAATAGTATGAGATCAAATTTGACTCCATAGCACACAATGTAAAACTTATTTTAAAGGCCTGCAGAGGTTGGTAATTTCTTTGAATGGTTTGTTTGTCTGGGTCTTAAAATTCAGGAGGTGATGAAATGTCAAAAAATGCTTGAGAAACTTGCAGAAACCGGACGATTAGGGCAAGTTTTTTTACCCCAAACTTACAAGTAACACAATAGAGAAGTATTTGTCACCTGACCGCAGTTTCCCAAGAAAACCGCAGTTTCCCAAGAAAATGTTACCTGAAAGTCTGCTGCAAGCTAAAACACTGGGAGTTGTTGTCTAGCACAGCAGTTGTGGACTACCAGCACAGCATGACTTAACTGGGTTTCTGCATGGGTTAGGTCTGGCAGTTATACTTGATAGTTATTAATTATTGATATACTGGAAATGTCATATGTCTCTGTCGCTCCTTCATGTTCTCGTTCTATAACTCAAAACAGCACAATTACAAAAACATTTTAAAATTCCCTTGTTTCAGTTCAAACAGTATCAT